CCTCAAAGGTCAGTACACAAGAGTCTATGTATTATAAAAGTTATGAATGGTTAAGTTTACTACAATGTGATAATAAGTCACATTTGACACCTCTGGCAGGTAGATATATATCTACCTTTATAGAACACTCCCAAGTTCATTCACAAAAACAAATTACTATGTACATAAAATTTCATTCATAAGTAAATGACATGTTTTGTTTTCTTTTTGTACCTGATATGCTATTGTTGAAAATGTGTTTAGAAAAAAAAGAAAATAAGATGTGAAGATTATCATTAAAAAAATTCAAATAATAAAATGTTTCCTCATTATACTATATTGATGAATGAACATGCATGCAGGCATCAACTCAAGGAAGTTTTCTAAATTAAAGATTTGACCTGTGATCATAACTAAGTCATGAACAATTCAGTTTACAATTCTCTACTTGTTTGTACTTGCGTTCACTTTCAACAGAAAGTTTTTTTGTGAAATGCAGGACAGAGTTTTTCTTCTTTTTCAGTTCAGAGGTATTTACATTTTTTGGGGGGTAAAAACCCTAAACCTTTTAATACGGTGCAGTAACAGGTTATACAGCTTGTTCAATCAATAATAAAAAGTTAATCTTTCCACTTGTCACATTATTATATATACAGAAAGGAAGTTATTCAACAAATATTATAAAATCAATCTGCTATATACACATAAAATGAAATTGTTCAGATCAATATATCAATTAGGCTATGTGGACACTCCCTAACCTGTATAACTGATGATTGATATGTGAAGAAAATCAATTATACACAGGTTCATTCATTCACACACTTATCTAGGTCTTTTCTTCTTGTTTCATCATCAGTTTTTATTATATCATATCTATCATGAATGAAGATAATTTTTCCCAATCCAATATCAATAGGGTTATGGATGTGATACAATATAGGGTAGTTCATCCTCAGATTGGACACATTTCCCTCAAGTCAGACATTTTCAAACTGGATTTCTTTAATATACCATATATACTTTGTGATATTTGCTCTGCCTTAATAGAAAATTTTAACTTGCTGATATGTTTTGATGTAACAAAATAACATGTTAAATTGTTTTCTGTTCTTCAGTTTACATAATCCATTGTTTCTAGTTGTAGTTGGTTTTATTTATTACTATTTAAATGCTAATTAAAAAGTTTCAATATTTAAACTAGACTAAGGACTGCATATCAAATTATTTAGTCTGATTCTTTTTTTTCCAGTTCTAGCGCACTTGAAAGTAAAATTTATATTTGCAATTTTTCAACTTTGTTGTTTTAGTTGCTTAAATCCGCTTCATCTGAACTCTGATGAATAGTTGTCTTATTGGCAATCATACCACATCTCCTTACTTTATATTGTATACAAGATCCAAATTAACAAATTCTTAAATCTCAAAAAACCTTATTGTATATGTCAGTAATGGCAAAAGACAACATGTTTCTAACCTTGGGGAAGCCAATGAACAAGCCATATTCAACATGATTTATCATATTATGTTTGTGTTTACACATTATTTTTGTACTGGTCTACCTAGGGGTGGGGGTAGGGTGAAATCTCAAAAGGCTAAATTGTGTTATAAACTAAAATTCACATTATGGTTAGAGCATGCGAGCAGTTGTGATGGTATATGATTGTATATGGAACATTTATCATATTCTTATAGCCATCAAGGCCTAAATGTAAGGTTCAAATGAGCACATTACTCAATCATGAATTCATATTCAAATTCTGATGAAAATACTATATTTTTTTCTTTTAGTGTACAAAGCTTATAGGGTTTAATTGAAAGTTTTCAAAACATTAATTTAGTAAATTATTTAAGTATATTTTTAATTATCCTTATTACAGTATACCTTAACTATGTATTTTTGCTGACAACTTTTGTTCACTCCTGTTTTGTTACTTTAGTGGAAAAGACTATACTTTAATATGATTATAAACCCCTAATGCAAACAATATGGGAAAATGAAAATTTATTTTATACTGTTTTATCAATTGTAACATCTGGCAAATACACAATATTCATTCAATGGCTATTTAAAAAGGTCATAACTTGATCCAGTTAATTGATAATACCAACAGAAAGACCTAAAGGGAAGGTTAAAAGCAATTTATTAATTACCGTTAATATCTAGGTCAACAAAGACAAAAAGTTCACAGATCAATAATCTGTAATTTTTGGTTCCTGTCACAAAGGGTCTATAAACAAACAATGTGGAATCTTCTGTCAGGAAGGAAATCTATTATTGTACAAACTTGAATTTTCTAAATAAGGCAATATAAGTTTGTTAAAGGTATCATCCACTCCTCTGTAACATAACAGCACATTCAATGTGCAATGATAAGTAATGTGAAATAAATATTTACAGGTTATTTTGTTAAAAGCATGTTTTAAAAGAGAAAAAAATAAAAGTAACTACCAGCAGACTCTAACCCATCCCCTGGTTCCTTATTTAGAACCATTTCAAGCATCGCATACAAAATAATCTGTGCTATTGCCTAGTTCCTGACAAATTGTACAACCACCATCTATAGAACCAGCTGATAATAAACAAATACAGGTCAATTAATACCTTAATTTTCCTTAAGACCATGGAAGTTGTGGGCGGGACCTTGTCACTGACTTTTCATTCATACAATCTCAGTTTAATTAGAAATCCAATAATCAAGTATTATCTTGATAAAATAACTGGCCTAATGACCTGTTTCTCATAATGACCATCTTTGAGGACCTAGGTGTGGATGGGGGTTTACAGAATAGAGAATAATGGGCAAAAAATATAAAGAATAGAGAAAAGTAAACCAAAAAATAAAGATTAGAGAATAATGAGGTGCTAAAATATAAAGAATAGAGAATAATGGGCAAAAAGTATAAAGAATAGAGAAAAATGGCCTAAAAAATTAAAGAACACAGAAATGGAGGACATGTAAGTCATCATCATAAATCACAATTTTTGTTTTTATCAACTTAAGATATTTTCTATTTTTCCTAAATACAAATCAAGTCAAACAATATTCAAATATCAGTATCAAATCTGGGACTTCATGTCCAATCTACTGTGTAAAGGGGACCCTTCTAATTTATGCCTGAATGATTATGTAAATCAATATGCATAAAGCCTAGAGCACTCTAAAAATGCTTGTTTCAATTTTATCCTTTCCCTTCTTAGTATTTTGCAAGTAAAAACCCTGACTGACCTGACTTTAAATTCAAATCAAACAGTGAATTACATCTACATTTATATGGGTACCTTTAAAGACTTTTAAAATTTGAAGAAATTTTAAAGCACATCTTCCGAGGGACAAAAGTGCTCTCAAAGTAAATCCTAAAACTTAAGATAGCCTGAAGTATTGTTTTAGTAGCTTCCTGTTACTAGTAGTTATCTACTTAAATATCTATATCTCTCTTGTAAGATGTTTCTTGGCCAAAGGTGAAAATCCTTGAAAAAGTTGGCTACTGGAAATAATTATATAGTTATGCAATTCATATATTTTAAATAGGTCATCTTTTAAACAGGATTTAATTTTACACCATCTCATATTTCTATGAATGGAAACACAAGCTGCATCTATTGAACCGCTTTAATTATGTTTTCATTTGAAAAGACCTATCACAGACAGATTAAAAACTGTTTTATATATAGATATATAGAGGGGCAAAAAAACATAGTGTGATTTAAAGTAAAAAGAAGCCTTGTCGGGTACGAATGATATTAAAACATGTTTATACATCTGAAAGCACTGCTATACTTTTACTCAAATGTTTTCTTGTTCTGAAAATGCATTTATATGAGCTACAAATAAAATAGAATCAATTTCACTTTAGTTTTTCCAATTTTTTTTTTTACCAATTTCAAAAGATTAGCAAACCTTAAATTAATGAAGTTAACACCAATAAAAAAATAATTCTTCTTAATTTTTTATGCATCAGATTTCCTGAATTATCATACTAATAGTGTATTGTTAGATCGCAAGAAATTTCCCTCACCCACCACATCAAATATCTCATCCTGTGTCTATATGATTATCTTTTAACCAAAGAAAAGAAATGAGAAAACATGAAAGTTCCTGCACTTCTAAGAGTCCTGCATATTTATGAATAGCATATCCACCTTTTTTAAAGTTTATATTTCTGGCAAGAGTTGAACAATCCTATGCCCCATTGATGAGTTTTCAATATGTCATGTACTCTTAATAATTAAAAGCTTGGATGCGCTGGAAAGGCAATTACTATCTAAAAAAATTGTAAAGGGTTTCTGCCGACCCTGAGTCTAGTCTGCAACTGCAAATCCATTTATCGGTTAAATTCAGAAAACTGAATAAGAAAAAAAATTGTAGATTTTGATCAGGATGCTACATTTTCTATCTCTTGATTGTGAAGAAGCTTCTGTTCAAGGTTTTTTTAAAATTCAATAAAGGTTTGACAAAGTTAATGGTGTCTAAAAAAAACTTTAACCACAGACTGTACCAAATGTTGACATTGCTGCCTACACCATTACAGAATGTAGGATACTAGGTCTTGCATCGCAGGTGAAACAAAAAAGGAAATAAATGTTTTTGTGACTTCAAGTTTTCAAATTTTAGTTTACATTGTTTTAACAGCTATAGGTGTTCCCAGCTGTATACAAAACCCATATTTCATGTGTAATGTGCAAGTTCTACTACAGATCTGATGCAGATTGGTCCAGAAAGCCGTGGCTACTGCAAGCATATATCAATGCACACAAAACGTCATTCCATGCAATATAAGGAAGAAACTGCCTTTTAAAAACAACACTATAAAAAAACAAAATCTTTCAGTGACACAGATAAGTCGTTCATGACTCAATTCAAGAAATTCTGTTATTACTTTGAGCAGATTTTGCTCATCAGTACATTGATGTACATGACTCAAGATAACCAGTTCACAGAACCAAGATAAAGAGACTGACCAGTATTTTCTAAATATGATCATAATTTTATGTAAATTAGAACTGTTACAATACCAACCATCTGTTAAATCTGCTACAGCAATTTTTATGCCTTTGTTGAAGGCCTTGGCATCATCTGATCTTTGAAATGTTAATCCAAATCGCTTATCATCTGTTATCCAATGGTGAAATTTGGGATTTGGTCTAAAGTATTTCATGTCTCTTTTAAGTACACAATCTAGCACAACCTGAAAAAAAAAATAGTGCTGTACAGATTGACATTTTATTCAAATTTGATATCTGTCACTTTTGTACACCTTACCACTGGATGCAGAAAAGGGCAAATTTGACATAACCCAACCTGCAGTACAACCACCAAACAAAGATACAAAACATTTTATGGTGCTCTGGTCGTGCTGACTAATTAATGATTTACAATATATTCAAACCACCTTTTCTCACTTTTTCCCCAAATTTACTAACAGTTTTTTTTCATTCTACTTTAAAAGAATGGATTCTAGAAACTACAAAATTTTTCAGGGTTTTGTTTTTCAATCTCATTATAACAAAATGTGCATGTTTGTTCTATAATTTGAACTTTTGTCAAAGTTTTTTTTTTAGTGAAATTTCGTTGTGGTCAGATGATATGGTAATGATGTGATTGAACCTTGAAACTTCACGTTAACTGTTAACACAGCTTGCAGTCAAATGAAACAAGTGAAGCTGCGAGCTACTGCTCACTGATGATACCCCCAGCCCAAATACTTGACGGTGAACAAGAAGTTGTTGAGTGATGAATCTGAAAACGCATCACACGTATAGCTGACTTATATAAACACTGAAACCAAATTTCAGAAATCCTTGTTATGTAGTTCCTGAGAAAAATGTGACGAAAATTTTCAACTTGGATGTCATGTGTAAAATGATATAAGTGTCGGTAAACAGGAAGTTGTTAAGTGATGAATCTGAAAACACATCACACAGTATAGCTGACTCATATAACCCCTGAAACCAAATTTCAGAAATCCTTGTAATGTAGTTCCTGAGAAAGATGCGACGAAAAATATTCATGGGACGGACGGACTGACAGATGGACGGATGCACAGACAGAGGTTAAACAGTATACCCCCCTTTTTTAAAGTGGGGGTATAACTATGATATTCTAATAGGACCGACAAGCCTTTAAAGTTAATTTTTGTGCATAGTGTAGGTCCATTCTTACTTAAAGATTTTCTTTGCAAGAGGCTCAACATCTCTTATATTTGTGCAATGGACAGTATGATAATTTAAGTTAATATTCAACATGCTGCTTTTGCATAACTTACACAAGTTATGTGTTTGCCAAGGTCTTACTGACCCCTGAAAGACTGTGAAAAATATTTTTTGACAGAAGATTAAACATTAATGATATAAGTCCTTAACAAAAACTCCAAATAATATCTAGTATTATGACATGCAAACTTATCTGGAGAATGGGTCTTGAAGATAGGGTTGTCAATTTATGGTTCAGACCTATATTTCACTGGTTTGTGCAAATATGAAAATTTTGAATTCTAAATTAGCTTCCTCTATCTCTGGGAGATGAAATTTGTATTGTTGCTTTATACTTGTAAACTTCAGTAATTTTCTCAAATTACAAAAAATAAATAATTAAATCTGAATAATGATTATGAAGTCAACAATATCTAAATTTTGACCCCCAAAAAACAACAATTAATGCCTTCCTTTTGCTTGTACTATTACTAACTGTGTGATACAATGAAATACAAGAAGAACATAAACTTCATAAAAGCAGAATTTCATAAGGAAGAGAATAGGTCAGCAAGCACTAGTTGTACCATGTCTCCTTGTTTTACTGCTCATAGTACAAATGTAACTGTAAACCACAAGTATCCAAGGATGGAGGCAGGAAGGCCAAACCTTCTGTAAACATCTGTTTCTATAATCATCCCTTCATTTGGTTAATTATTATGATAATCACATTATGCTTAATTTATACTTTACCATTATGAACACAGTTATTGAATTTTTTTTCAGAAATCACTTTATAAAATAAGATTTTTGCCAGACTGGAATATGCGGACAATTATTTATCATTCAACTTTTGGATTTTCTTCTTAAAATATGTTGTGTGAATTATTATTGTGTAAAATCAGTAATTGAAAACAACCAAGACCAATGAAAGACATTGTCAAAAGCCTTTATTCTACAGTACCCCTAAAATCCTATACAATAATCTTACATGATGTGAAAGTTGTATGAATCAGCAAAGGGATAGTTCATTGATTACTACCAATGAATCAGCATTGTTGATAATAATATATTTTCAACCAGATGTTTTATTTCTTAACATTCACTTATTTTTTATTATTTAAAAATATTCAGCAAGGAGAAATTTCAAACAATGTCAATATACCTAAATCCAAGTACTAAAGTGGACAAAACAGCATATAGACAGCTTCTTATGATATAAAATTAAAGTTTCTACTTTCTAACAATGCTAACTCTTTATATACATATTGTATATTCTAAATTTAAGTTTAGTTTCCCTTTTCTACTGATTAAATTGGTAAGGACACTAGCTCTAAAAGTAATTATCTGATATGCAAATACTTTTACATCTGAATGAAATTTTCCATTCCTATTTAAACTGTAAGATATTTTGTTTTGTAAAATTTTCCAGAAAAGCCCTTGTTTATGAGTTGAGTATTGCTCAAAATTAATCATTTAAAATATAAAATATAAGGTGCACATCTTAACATGGTACTTAGGATACTCTAGTTTTGTTCTATTCAACGCTAACAGTAGAAAGGTTTATTCTGACAAAATTCTTCCAATTGAAGATATGGTCGTCCACATTTTTTTCACACTTTAAACCAAAAAATAAAATAGAAGTTGTTCCACACAAAGTAGTATGATGTCATAATTTCTAGCTTAGTTCTATTCCTTTTTTAAAATATAGGCATTGACAAGCTTATAATAATAATAATAATAAATTCTTTATTTAAAGAGGGTAATTAGATATAGGAAGATGTGGTATGAGTGCCAATGAGACAACTCTCACAGTTAGTTACAATAAGCTAATCTTCCCTGAGGCCCTCACATATGACATAGAAAAAGACAATAAACCACCCCTAATATTTTGAGATATAATAAATAAGTCTGACCAGTAAATTATTGAGGTATATATTTCATAGCTTGTCAACTATGACTGAAGTCTTTGGTCAAAAGATAGAGATGCTGCTTTCCAGTGAAAAGACATAATGTTTCCCTTGGGGGTTTATGCACAGTGGGACCCCAAGCACTAATGTAGGCCCTATCCTTCATAACTCATGAACACCATCCTTTCAGTCAACCCCCCCCCCCCCCCCCCCCCCCCCCACTCTAGAGAAAACACTGAAGTCCTTCATATTGCTTTTTTCCTTTTAATTTCTCATCTGTGTCTATCAATTCATACTTCATCAGACGTTTTCATATTTTAATTTACCTATACATATTTAAAACAGAAATATAATCTATATACTAGACATAAAACTGCATCTTGGGGTTAGACATTTTGTGGTTTTTGTGGTTAACCTCCATGTTAACTTATCTTTAACCTAATTACAAGGTCTAACAATAAATGACCAAGCAAATACTCAATGTTTATCCATAACTTTATAATAGTACAATTTATTCACACCCATGTGAAAAATTGCAAGCTAAATCATGTTGTGTGAATGGGCAATAAAATTTATGAATGGATTATTTGAATTCATTTGAGAGCTCTCATTATGATTTGAATATCTGCCAAATTTGATTGTGTGGGTGGAAGACTTTAAACTACAATCCTGATATGTTTGACCCATTCATTGAAAGCATTGTTTTTTTTTCTCTCATCTGATGTTTTACAGGGGTCATTGACAACAGGAAGAGTGCCAGCACATTTATAACACATTTCCTTCCCAGTAGAAACATGCAATATTACTTTATCATGTCTTTAGCAATAGAAATGTACAACAACATTAGGTGTCAAAAAATCTTCATATCCCCAGATACACACTGTAGCAAAATACACCTGTATCCTGGACTAGTATTATGAAATAAAAATGCAAGAGTGCACACACATATATTGTTGAGGAGGTGGGGGCTGTGACTTTTTAACTTTAACTTCTAGGTTTTGCATTAATCACGTATTCTACAAGGCCCATGTCTTTTGTCATGTCATCTAGTCAGATGTGATTAATTAAAAAGTTTCTTTCATTCAGTAACATCCTATCAAAGCAAAGATTTTTGTTTATCTCTTCAATTATTCCGATAATTCTGAATTGTAGCTAGCTTGGATCCATCTTAAGTCTTAACTTGGGACAACTTCTACTTTCATTATTTTATATACATTTAAAAAAAAACAACTAAAAAGTACAAAGAAATGTTGAGCACTTGGTAAAAAAACACAATTAATTATTGGAAAAAAGTTGTAGATTGCTTTACATCCAGTGACAAATATTTCATGTGTATTCAGGACAATAAACTGACAATAAGAAGGTTCTGTAAGTAGACCATGATGAGAGGTGGAAAAGAAAACATTTGAAAGTTATAATGGCTTTGTAATACATTTTTGTATTTCATTTTTATTTATTTGGCCAGGCCTATATGTAAATTTTGAAATAAATCTGATATATGAAAACATGAGATGAAGCGGTCTTCTTTCTCATTTATTACATTTGTACTACTTACATGAGAGTATCCTTCATAGAATATAAAAACAGAAGAAGTAGACCAAATAAATAATATTCCTATTACCAGGTAAATTTCAAATCAACAATATTTGACTCAATTTGTCAATTTTTTATTATCTGCACATTATTGAAAATTTTAAAAATTATATAGATATTCTTGACTACTTAATTGGTAGTACAGTTACATAATTTCTCTCTGGACTTTATCTGTTAAAAAATAAGCTTTTTATATCAGTAAAATGATATTTTTTACTTGACCGAATGTCCAATAAAATTTTGTTGAATTTTTAGTTGTAAAATTATTGATTGTCTAGTGATCATGAAATTCTTTCTGTCCTAACTTGCACATTTTTGTCTGAGGCACAGATACAAATAATAAATTTTGAAAATGGGAGCTGACCGATAATTTTTGACACCTGTAATCAATTCACTATATCATATTCCACATAGATACAAAATTTTGTTGAAATCTGAGCACTTTGAAACTCTGTACATTTTACGTATTTATGCAGCCATTTTTAGAATGGCTG